GCTCGCCTCTATGGAGTTGAGGGCTTAGGGTGGGCAACAAACTCCTATCCTTGCTGAGGTGGACCTCAAGGGAGCAGAGAGCAGAATTCAAACCTCACCCCAAGTCAAGGTCTGAATCTCCAGTGAAGAAGGAAGAGGCCACACGACTGAGAACCTAGGAGGTCCCAGAAGCCTCCCTGCACAGACGCCGAGCCCCCGCAGTCCACCTCCTTTTTTCAGGCCCCCGAATCCTAGCCGCTCTCTCCTTCCCTAGGAGAGCCGGCCATGTTCCTCTCCTGCTCTTGCCTGCTGCCCTTGCCAAGATTCGTCATGCGTCGCAGTCAGAAGAGCAAAGGCCGCTCTCGTGGCAAACGTTGGCAGGCCTAGGACTCACGTGACACCAAGACGGCGGAGGGTGACCAGGCCACTGCAGCAGGGGAGGAAAAGGCCTCTGCTCCCATGACTTCTCCTGAGGAATATCCCCCGGGCACCCCTGAGGATCGAGGCCCAAGGGTACCGCAGGAATCCCTGCCCTGTACTGTGGCTGCTGCAGAGGCTTCCTGTCCAAAGGCTGCTGACCACTTCCAGACCCAAAGTGAGGGAGAGGCAAGTGCTCCTGTGGCTGGCCCAAGGTCTTCTCCGGGTTCCCTGACAGACCCCATTGGCCGGAGGTTCAACATTTTGGTGCAGTTGCTGCTGCACAAGCATAAAATGAAAGAGCCCGTTTCCAAAGCAGACATGATGAAGATCATCAACAAAAAGTACCAGCAGCATTACCCTGAAATGCTGAGGAGAGCCTCCTTTCACATGGAGATGGTCTTTGGCCTTGAGATGAAGGAAGTCAACTCCTGAAGCCAAACCTACGTTCTGGTCAGCCTTTTGGAGATCAGCAGGGAAGAGAGTTAGTTTAACATCAAGGGATTCCCCACGATGGGTCTGCTGTTGGCTGTTCTGGGCCTGGTCTACAGGCATAGCTACCAGGTCACAGAAGCAACGATGTGGGGATTCCTGAATGCATTGGGAATCTTCGATGGGAAGTGCCACTTCATCTTTGGAGAGCCCAGGAAGTTACTCACCAGAGATCTGGTTCAGGAGAAGTACCTGGAGTAGTGTCAGGTGCCCAACAGCGAGCCTCCTCGCTATGAGTTCCTGTGGGGTTCCAGAGCCCATGTGGAATGTAACAAGAAGAAAGTGCTGGAGTTCTTGGAGAGGCTTGATAAGATGGACACCAAAGAGTTTCGTGACCTCTATGAACGCACCTGGCGCGATGAAGAAAGGAGGGTGGCAGCCTCAGGATGGGGAGGCACAGGGCTTAATGCCAAGAAATGCCCCCTGGAAGTGAAGGTTTCGGTGTTGGGGAACTGCGTTCCTTCCTGCTTGCAGGATAATTCCATGGACCGCTCTGGAATCTATGTGAGGCTCTTGGGTATATTTCAGGCAGTTCTG